TGTCAGAACAGAAATCGATGTTCCAACAACGGCGGAAGTAGATTGAGAGATAGTTTGATAAGACAATGCTGGACCAGAAACTGTAGTAGTTTTGTTAGAAGTTGGAGGCACAACAAGGCTAACATCCGAACTTGCTGTCAAAGGAGAGAGCGATGACAAGTTGGAACTTAGAGGAGCTTGAGGAAGAGCAGAATGTACTTTCTGGCTGGCCATTGAGCTTGATGATATCTCAGAGGCCTGTGGAACTGACAGCACAGATGGAAATGTTGAAGATACAGTAACTGGAGGCATTGTTGTGGATGATAAACTAGGAATGGTAGGATTAGCAGAGAATAAAGAAGATGGAACTTCTAATAGATTTGATGCGCCAGAGGGTAAAGAAGCATTAGGATTAGGATATTGCAGTGGCGGCTGCAAGGAAGAAGGCAATGACAGGCCAGGTGGTGGACGAAGTAATGATTGCTGATGCATGTGAGGAAGTCCATTAGGGGGCCCATAATACCCTTGCCAGTACATTGGCAAAGCAAGTCCACCATCACTTGGATTTGGAGGAGGTGGCGAAGGGGAAGCTCCCCAAGACCCTACATTTCCTCCAGGTTGATATAAAGGCAACCCACCCTGGAAATGAGATCCAGGAATTCCCACAGGTATGGCCTGAGAATTAATATCAGGCAAGGGTCCACTAACAGGAGGAAGCGAGCTTGAAGAAGTAGATACTGGACGAGGATAGTGAGACTGCATGAGAAATTTCACCAAATACATTGTAAGTTCACCTCCATTTTATGCAGAATAAATTGGGGAAGGGAGGGAGGGAGGGAGGGGCAGGGAGAGGATTTCATGTTACCTGAATAATAGCAGGATCGTTGTTTATCAAGGGTGTAGTCTGAACAGGTGGAGAAGATTTTACCTGTAGATCCTGCAGAAAGAGCCAAAAAGTCAATACTACTTATACATAGCCTCAACGCATGCCATTTGCTCAAAAGATCAGTTTTATATGACGTATATAAACGTAGTGGTGGTTCTAATAAAACACCATCACATAAAAAATAAAAAAATAAAAAAATAAAAGATGATCAGAACCCAGGTGGGCACCCTTAGACTTTACCACAGGGTAACAAAGATACAAAAGCTGACTTGTACTGTTGTCAAACAAGATTGCAATGTTACATAAAACATATAATTACAAAATAATGATACTACTTCACATGGAATCTTTAAATTAACAAAAAGGATCTTTTGCACGCATTAAATAATATAATCAAATATAGGAGCTAGGTAAAACTTTATAAAGTTCCAAGTACACCACAAGGTTCATTGGTATCTACACATAGGATACCTTTCTGTCACATAGTAATCATGCAATTAAGCGTACTGCCACTACCACGTTATAGTTAATATCTATATCAAAGTTACCTTGATATCACTTCCACGGAACAAGATGAATTCAAAAACTTTGTCGCTTGGTGGGACTTGTGGCCCCTCCTGCTTTCTCCCTTCTGTTCCAAATGAACGTACTGAAAAGAGAAATATAAAATATCGCATTAGTATCAATTTCCCTGGAACCTTGAAAATGGCTTAATATACATCACTATGACATTAAAGATAATATACTGAGAAGTATAGCAACTGTTTGTCGCCCCATGGATGAAAATGATGACTTCTTAAAACACGAGGAAACTGAGTCAGTATTTGAAAAGATTTCAGGACAAAACCTACCACAAACCCAACCTATAACATCACAATTATGGGCCAAGGTTTCATGTCAATACAATACCGACCTTAACCCACCGAACATTTCACTATGATGCACAAATGCAACATTCCTATTCCGCCGAACATGTAATAACATTTCCGTCCACGTTAATAGTTATTGGACCTAAAAAAAGTTTAATCCATTCAATTTAGCAACTAAGTCAAGCCATTGTCTTCCTTTCGATTCTTTTTTTTTTTTTTTTTTCCTTTTTTCACTTCAACAATAGATGTGTCACACAAATGTAAAAACTAATTAACAACATGAAAAACACCCAACAATAGTCAAATCTACTAAGAGCCTCTGAGATAATTCTGCAATGCCTCTCAAGACAATTTCCTGAATGATAGCAAAAACAGCATTTTCTCAGGGCACTTTAGCCTGCATTTTATACCCTACTGGGATGTCCATGTAACAATTTGCTCTCTACAGCCCAAAACATTGTTGCAAAAGCCATAGAAAATACCAGAAGTTTCAAAAGCTTCTAACACCAAGTATGTGCAAAAGTGAAACTGCCCACAAATAGTACTGGCCTTCCTAAATACTTTTACACATTTAGCCACAATTAAGGCAGATAGAGAGCCAAAATAGGGGACCATTTGTATTTACATTATACTACAACACCCCATGGACATCTTTGCTGAGGTCTTTTTAAACCCGGGTAAACTATTCCCCTAACCACCTGTATCTCAATGTGCTAGATGCTATAGTATGCTCCACAAACCACCACACCACTTAGGCAGTCAAGGAAATGCTCTCCTATTTCAAGTATCACTTCACTTCCTCTAGCAAGCTAGTAATTTTAGCCTGGTTACAAGATGAACGCCTCCTATGCAATATTCCCCAGTCCACAAAAAGTTAAAGATCGTTAATCTGAACAAGGTACTTCACCACTTAGGCTCCCCTAACCAGACCTTTAGAAAGATCAGTTTGTAGCAGATGGCATAGAACATCAACGGCAATCACAGAAAGAACTATAGGTTAAAGGTTTCCATGCTTGCAATACCTTGTAAATTTGATTCTACCTCTAGGTTTGCCATTCATAATAACTGAAATTTTAATTTGAGCAATACAGTTCATAGCCCTTTATCCTCCTGTAGTCATCAACTATTTCATTCAAAGGTAGAATGTTCATATTATTTATGAAGGACAACTTATAGTCAAAAATAAAATTGTGCCCAGAGGGATCTTTTTAATCCGATCCACCAGAATTATGCCAGAAGCTTATAATCATTATCACCAAACTGATAGGTTGAAGAACCTTCAAACAAGATCACATATAAGAGTCATCAATTTAAACTTTCTATTAACTGGTATGCTAGCTACTAATGATTATACTAGACGGAAAATCATGCACCGTAGAATGAAATGGGCGCATCTGTGACGAAAAATTCCATCATTAAGTTCTAATGAGCCCTACAGACTAAAAGCCGCCAGTAATTACATAGTTGACACAAAGAGGCAGACATTAATATTTGATGAAAAGCCTTCAGCAAAAGGGATGCCAAGGAGTGAGCAGTGCTTGATATGTAATCCCAGGCCACAAAAGAAGTTACCAACCAAAAGTTAAAGGAAATGGTGTAGCTAGTTGACACATGACATTAAACAGAAAATGCCAAAAGGAGAAAGGGAAAACAAATGTGACACTGCCATCGGCAAACTCTGCAGGCAATTAAATTTCACAATAACAGCCGGGTAATGGTTTCTGCAGTCAGATTCGTAAGGCAATAGGAATTTATTCAGAAAATTTAAATCTCATAACTAGTAAATGATGCAAGACCAGCAACCAGATGAGACAAATGAAATATTTAACCGGTCAATCCAATCTCACTTCGTAGTTTCTCCGAACTAACAGAGTGAAAAGAGACAAATTTCATAATCATAAACTAAAAGTTAAAGCCTACGATTCGTCAGGAACTTCACCGAGAGAATAAAAGAGGATTGGATCCAATGGAAAACAAGTCAAGCCCTCGCCTAACCAGAAAGTGAAAATAGCAAAACTAAAGACTTCAGAAAAGGATGTTACCATTTCTCAGTCCGATACTGGATTCTTCAGTGTTGATGCTATAAAGAACACCTTCGTATCTAATCTCACTCCTGGACGTTAAGCTTATCAAGCTTCCTATATACGAATCGGCCGGTGAACTGGATCTGGAACCACTATCGGAAGCCATAACCAACGACCCAGAAACAAATCCGAGGGAAAAAGAGAGTAGGGTTTAGATGGGGAATCTGTGATTGAGAAGGTGGGGTTATATTGAGCGATTTGTCAGGCGAAAGTGGTAGGAAATTGATGAAAAGCGCTTCTGCAGTGCTTAGGCCTTATGCGCTTTTATTATTCAAAACCATTCGCGACTGCAGAAATTACCTAAGAAACTGCTCCAAACGCGGTGGAATGTTTTAAGCGGATAGCCCAAATGCCATCGCCATCGGCATGGCTCAGTGTTTCATTGTTTCTTACCGTTCAATCTTTATTTAATTAATTACAAATTAAATTTTTATTTCTTAAACTTGATTTAAAAAGTTTAAATTTTAATTAGACATTAATTAATTTTAATAAATTATTATAAACTTAATTAAGAGTTATTTGAAAATATGAGAACTAAATTAACAATTTAACCATTTTTTTAATCAAACTCTTCTAAAATTTTGATTAGAAAATGACCTCTCAGTGCCTCCATTTCCAAACCCTAGAAAACCTTCAACGCTGCAATTTCCTTTTCCATTTCTCTTTACTTCATTCAATGCTTTAATTGATCCAAATCGCGTCTTCGTGTCAGTTCGCCATTGGAGAATGTAGGCGGCAGCGGTAGCGCCAGTGCTCTGCCTCAACGGCTGCATGTTGGATCGACCAGAAAGCCTGAAGTCCACCGCGATTGAACAAGCCTCATCAATTGTTAATATAAATCTCTCAGAAGCCCTAATACACCTTCTGAATCTCTCTCCCTGTAAGATTATTCTTCATTTCATCTTCGATTCATGAATCATTCTCTCTCTTAATACGAAATTCCAAAATGCATTTGCAATTGCATTTATTTTATCTCTGAAGAAAAATTTGAAACGAAGTATCGAATTCATAGAGTGCAGATTTAAAGATGGAATGTCGTTTTCCTTTCACTGATCCGTTTGTGCAAAACTGCCTAGCAAACTGTGTCCTCTTTTCGAGCCGCGCGGTTCACCAAGCTGATCGCCAATGGGGCTCCTAGAGTAGTGCTTTACGCTCTCTCTCTCTCTCTTTAAAAGTAAATAAATCAATCATTTCCATCTATAATTTCAAAATGTTCTTCATAACCTCCATCTTTTTCTCTTTGCTTCTATATATCTGACTTGAGTTCCAATTATTATTCACTGAAATCAGAAGTCATTATTATTGTAATTACCAATTGTGAATCGGGAATTGTTTCGAAAACATGACGTTTAAATTATATATATAATCAGCCACTCCTATGAAGTTCAGTTGCAACTTCATTATTTTTTATATTTTATTTTTCTACATTCTTTTAATCAAAAGAATATCTAAACTAACAAAAATACTAAAATGTTAGTATGTTTACCAACTTTGACAGTGGGGTCTCATTGGTTTCTGTATCTCAATAAATTGTATTATTGGATTTAAAATCGTCATAAAAATCAAGAAAAATAAACTTGCAGTATCTTTTCTTTCTGTTAAATTTTGTGAGCACTAACTTATATTACAATTTTATGCATTAATCAAAGTAGAAGTCGATTTTGATTGAAATTAGTGAATATTGGTAGGAAACAAACGTATTGTCAAATTTTGGGGCAGTGATCCTCAAGACTGTGAAACCCTAACATACATCCTTTGTTTTTCCCTCCTTAATACAACACTTCAAAATCCAAATTAAAACAAAACCCAATGCCCAAAACCCAACTTGTTTCCTTCCATGCATACACATGCACCTTCTCTCTCTTCTGCATGGGAAAAAAATGGTACCTTTAAAGGCCATTTAGTTCTCTTCCCTTCCCCCACAGTCCTATACCTAAACCCTAAACTTTAACCCTGACCCTAATCCTAGAGCTCTGCTTTAATGTTCTTAGCCACCTTCTCTAAAGTCTAAACCCATAATTCCCCCAACTACTTTACCCTTTTAGCCATCCTATTCTCATAGCAATAAATTTTGCTAACAGAAAATTATACTAAATTATTTCTCTGATAAAAGGAGTTGCTTTGGCATTCCAATGCATACAAGGAAAAGACTATGCCCCACATTTCGCTTTCACTTGGGGTTGGGGCTTTTAGCCCTTTCAGTAGTTTATGGCACTCTTATATTTATTATTGTTATTACTATTATTGCTTTTTGGCCCTTTTTTGAGAATTGTGCTTTGCCTAATCCCCCCCCCCCCTTTTCTTCACCACTCTCTGGTCTAACACTTCCCTTTGCCCATTTCCATTTCCATTTCTCTGATCCTTTGCATCTCTTTCACTTTCATTCCTTACAATCTCTCTGGTTTCTCTTTCTTTTGAGCCTTTCCTGGATCTGGGTTTGCTTTTTCTAGCTTGCTTGTGTGATTTCTCTACAGTTCTTGTTCTTGTGACCTCCATGCACGTACCCATTTCATCCTCTCTGTTCCATCGCTTCTCCATTTATATGTCACCCTAAACTTTTGAATACAATAGAATAACATAACTGCGTCTGATTTCTTCATTTCTTTCTCTCATTGTTGTGATCATTTTGGTTCTGTAATGGGGATGAAGAGGCTGTTTATTGCTGTATTCTTTGTCTGTTTGGGAAGTTGGAGGAGCTATGCACAAGAAGGTGGAGAAGCTCCAATGGAGAAAACAGAGCTTGATGCTCTGAACTCCGCAATACAGGGCTTTGTGGGTAATTGGTGGAATGGCTCAGATCTCTACCCTGATCCTTGTGGATGGACTCCAATACAGGTAACTCTTCTTCAACCTGCTCCATTTTTTAGTTCATTTTTCTGCTTTAAAATTTTACAATTGAGGAGTCAACTTAGAAAACAGGAAAATATGTTGTTTGAAGAAATTTTGCATCCTTAATGGAAAGTGCAAAGAGGAATGATTTTTTAGTTCATATTATTGCCTTAATATTTCACAATTGACGAGTCGACTTAGAAAACAGGATAATATGTTGTTTGAAAAAGTTTTGCATCCTTAATGGAAAGTGCAAAGTGGAATGATTTTCTAGATGTTTTTCAGGGGGTTTCTTGTGATATCTTCGACGGGCTCTGGTATGTCACTGCACTTAACATTGGACCAACTCATGACAACTCGCTATCTTGTGCTCCAAATGCCCATTTCAGACAGCAATTGTTTGAACTCAAACACCTTAAGAGTCTGTCCTTCTTCAGCTGCTTTGTCTCAACAAAAGGGAGCAATTCTGTTTCACTTCCAACTGACGAATGGCTAAAACTCGCCGGAAGTTTAGAATCTCTCGAGTTCAGATCAAATGACGGCCTCACCGGAAAAATTCCGGCCAGTCTGGGGAGTCTATCAAACCTGCAATCTTTGGTTTTATTAAATAATGGATTCGTAGGTGAAATACCAGAAAATTTTGGCGGTTTGATCAAATTAAAGCGACTGGTTATTGCTGGAAACTCGCTCACTGGTCCAATTGCTCGAAATCTTGGGCGGCTGAGCGAGCTACTGATTTTGGATTTGAGTAGAAACTTATTGTCGGGTTCTCTGCCACCGAGTTTGGGAAATTTGACTTCCCTTTTGAAGCTTGATCTTAATGACAACAAATTGAGTGGAATTTTACCAAATGAAATCGGCGATATGGGAAATTTAACGCTTCTGGATCTGAGCAACAACAGTTTCTACGGTGGATTGAAACAGTCGTTTGAGAAGATGAGTTCGTTAGAAGAAGTAATTTTATCCAACAACCCAATCGGGGGAGAACTCAAGAGCATAAACTGGAAAAGTCTAGAAAACTTAGTGATTTTGGACCTTTCCGACATGGGTTTGAAAGGAGACATTCCGGATTCATTATCCGCATTGAAAAGGCTAAGATTTCTGGGCCTTAGCCGCAACAATCTAACAGGAAACCCCTCGCCAAAACTTGCAACTCTGCCAGTTATTAGTGCGATTTACTTGTTCAGGAACAATTTGTCTGGAGACCTCAAATTCTCCGAAAAGTTCTACGGGAAGATGGGGAGGAGATTTGGGGCATGGGATAATCCGAATCTGTGTTACCCCATTGGAACGTTGGCGGCAAACAATGGTCCATATGGGGTGAAGCCATGTCAAGAAGAGGAAGAAGATGAAGATGTGATCAAATTAATGAAATACCCCGTCAAAAAGACGAATTTTGAGACGGGAAATTCGAATTCGGCGGTCTCAAAGGGTTGTTGTGGGCTTGGAATTGAAGGATTTTGGTGGAAATTTGTGGGGAAGACATTAGCGATGGTTCTGTTAACGAATAGGTTGTTATGAAACAGAAACAGAAACAGAAACAGAGGTTTGTTTCTTAGAAGTGTCCTGCCTGAAGAGAATGGAATCATTATCCATTTGGTCTGCTGCAGCTGACGTCCTAACGAAAAGTCACCTTCTTATTTAAAGAAAGAATAGAAGTTAAATGGTATTTGTAATGGAGTTTACTTAGTTTCAATTTTCAAATTTAATCATGCACCAGAAAAGTCACTGCGCAGTAAAATTTAGAGTTATTAAACATTTTTTTTTTAAAAAAAAAGTAAAAAAAAGTAGAATAGTGTAAATAGAGAGGGGTAGGGATGGAAGAAAAAGGAAGGAGAGAGGGGGTTGAGGGAAGGGCAATAATGTCAGAAATGGAGGGCGTCGGAGCAGAAGGTGGCGAACCCAATCCCAAGGTGGAGGAGGCGAGTAAGGGCCCTTTCATACATCCCACCCAAAGGCCGAAGCCCCCACTTTCTCCATCCTGCAAATGCACTCTTCAATAACCCTATCCCTATCCCACCAATTTCTTCTTTTGTTTCTTTTATTTTTTATGAGGACATTCCCTTTTATGTTAGGGTCAATTTAGGGTTTTCACATGATTTTAATTTCCTTTTAGTAATTGATTGGTGAATATTTAAATATTTGAAATTATCTCATTCAAAATTTGAATACTTTCTATTTTGTCTAAAAAAATATATTTTATCATTAATTTTAGATAAAAAAAACTTTAATATTTTATTTAAAATATATCTTTTAACTTTTGATATTGATTCAAAAATATACTTAAATTCTAAAAGAGTTAAAAAAAATACTACTACGATTAGGACTATTTTTTAAAAAAACTTATGAAATATTAAACGGTTTTTCGAGAATCCATAGACTATCTCCTTATTTTTTAATTTTACTTTTGAAAATTTATTAGCATGTATGGATCTCACTAGATAAAAGGTAATTTTTTATTGTTTTTATTTAAAATAAGAGTGGAATTTTTTAAGACCAACACTTTTTAAAGTTGGAGAGTATTTTTTTTTTAATCTATTTTAAAAATTTAGGTATTTTAGAAACAAGAATTAACTATTTCACCCAAAAAAAAATTATTATTTTTTAGTTTTAAGGATGTTCTTTAAATTTTTTATATTTTTAAATTTAAAGATATTATTAAAAAATTTAAGAGAAAATGAAAGATATTATCAATTCTTACATATTATTTGTCAACGATAACAGAGTATTTTTTTCAAAATAAATAACCTTAAAAAAAGGTTAAAAATCAAAATAAATTGTTTTAAAGAGGTCCCACAAATAGACTAATTATCCTGTATTTTCCAACAAAATCCCTATAGCACAGTAGGTCGTAAAGCATTTGGGCTGGATTCAAAACTGGGCCGATGTTAGAAAGGCCCATTAAACCCTGTCTTAATTAATTAGGGTATTTTTTTCGATCAAGAGTCAACTATTTTAAATTTTCCAACTAAACAAGCCATATTAATTTTACCACAATTAAAATTAAAATTTATTAAACCAGCAATAATCACCTTACAAAATTACAACTAATTCATTTTAATAGTTTCAATTTACGAACCAATTCAACAACATCAAATTATACTCAAATACAATAAATAACTTGTTGACAAAGATTTACCAAATTATAAACATTAATTTTTAAAATAAAATTTTATTAAATAATTAACCACGGTTAAAATGTGTAAACCAATGCCTAGTAAAATGTCAACCATGACTACAACCCAAGTCGATTATTTGGTATAATAATAATAATAATAAATATTTGGAAGAAAAAGAAAGCATTCGTCAAATCCCAAAGAGGACCTTTGAATTAAAAAAAAAAATCTTATATATAAAAGATATATATATAATATTGGGAGTAGAGATATTCAAAGTCAAAGTCAAAGTCAATAAATGAAACCAAAGTTATTTTGACGTCAACCTTAAAAACAATACCTTAATTTCTTGCATGTTTGAAAATAGAAAGAACATTTGAATCATGAAGTTAGTTATAATCATGAAGTTATCACATTATTAAACTTTCAACTTTTAAATAACAACTTGAAAATCTTACCGATTCAGTTTATCGTATCTGTTGGATGATGAAAGTCCCACATCGGTTAATTTAGGGAATGGTCATGGGTTTATAATCTAAGAATACACTCTTCATTGGTATGAGGCCTTTTGGGGAAGCCCAAAGCAAAGCCATGAGAGCTTACGCTCAAAGTGGACAATATCATACCATTGTGGAGAGTCGTGTTCGTCTAACATGGTATCAGAGCAATGCCCTAAACTTAGCCGTGCCAATAGATTGGCAAATCCTTAAATGTCAAACAAAGGACTCCAAAAGGAGTCAAGTCTCCTCGAAGGTACGAAGGCAGTCAAAAATGACTAAGACTCCAAAGGAGTCGAGCCTCGATTAAGGGGAGGCGTGCTTTGTTCGAGGGGAGGTGTTGGATGATGAAAGTCCCACATCGGCTAATTTAGGGAATGATCATGGGTTTATAAGTGAGGAATACTAACTCCATTGGTATGAGGCATTTTGGGGAAGCCCAAAGCAAAGCCCTGTTGGATGATGAAAGTCCCACATCGGCTAATTTAGGGAATGATCATGGGTTTATAAGTGAAGAATACTAACTCCATTGGTATGAGGCCTTTTGGGGAAGCCCAAAGCAAAGCCATGAGAGCTTACACTCAAAGTGAAGCTCAAAGTGGACAATATCATACCATTGTGGAGAGTCGTGTTCGTCTAACAGTATCAATTTGACCAATACGAAAGAGGGTTACAATTCAACCATATTCTATCCTATTTTTAAGATTATTATAAAGAATAATTTTTTATTATTTTTTTATTTTTGTAATTCTACGTTAGATAAATATTTGATATTTGAATTTTATGAAATTTTAGTTATTAATATAAGAGCGTATAAATATAATTTTTTTAATAATAATAATAATAAACAATCAACTACCCAACTCATAATTTTCTTGAATAAGTTTACCTGTTTGATCTTTTTTATCCCATTCTTTGACATATTCAACTTCTTCTAAAAAATAATAAATGTAGAGATAAAATTAAATTTTATATTGAATGAATTTTAAAAATCGAATCTTTTTTATTTATGAATTTGTTAGATAAATAGAAAGTTATATATGTGTTGAAGTTTTAAGGAAATTTCATAAGATTTGTATGCCAATGACATTTTCTTATAATTAAAATTCCACGCGGAAAAAATTTAATGAAAAAAAGTCAAAAGATAGTTGAATGACTTCAAATTTATTTGGTTTTTGTTAAAGTTTTAATTTCCTAAATTTATTTTTAAATGATAATAACTAAGGTTAAAAAAATTAATTCTTTTTATTTTATTTTTCACATACCGGTGATTGAATCCTAAAACTCGAACCAACTAACCTAAATTATAAAAATTGAGTTAGGTTAGATAGAATTCTAAATTGAGTTGGTCCAATTTAGGTTAAGATATTTTTATTACTGACAACTGATTAAAACATATGAGGTCCCAATACTTCGATAGAACCTGGATGAATTGACGTTTGAGATGGTTTGATTAGATGAACGACACAAGATGAGTATCGATTGATATGTTTGAGCTAAGTCGAAAAAGTCAAAATAAATAGCATTTACCACATAAGCTATAGTTGAGTTGATTATATGGGAAATAGGGTCGGGTGTGACACCAACCCATTAGCCTACCCCTAACCTATTTCCCCATCTACTTTCCCCACTATTATATTGTGTGCCACATAATCTTATGTTCTCATGTCAACCCAACCACTTCTACTTTCTTCTCCCTTTTACAACATTCAAATTCCTTTTTATTTCCTCAACTAATTTTCTTTTTTATTTCTTCGAAATATTTTGGAGTTCGTATATAAAAAATATTATTTCCCTGCAAATTTCTTTAACGCCTAATATTTTTTTAATATTTTATTTAATGATACAAACGAATTTGAACCTTAATTCTACGATGGTAATACTAGATTCTAAAGAGACATTAATATTACGTTTTGACTTACATCAACTAAAGTACTAAAACTGTCCAACATTCTAAACCATTATAAGTTGGGTATCTTTTTTTTTCTCGAGTTGAATGAATATATGGGAGATCAATCGTATAAAAAAGTTAATAAATAATTACATATTTATAAAAGTTAGAAGGGCCCAATATATTTATTGAAAAGCCACATTAAAATATATATATGTTTATAGGACCTTCCAAACAAGTTCGAAGCAGATTGATGAAAGAGGGTTGAGAGATTTGTGGTATTAAAAATGAATTTTGAGTTTAGATTGGATGAACTGATAAAGGCATCAAGGGAAGAAGTCGGTATCAGAAAAAAGCACCCTCTTCACATTTGTGCTAATGGCATACCAACCAGGGCATCCTCTCTCTCTCTCTCTCTCTCTCTCTCTCTCTCTCTCCAATTCTCTCCTATTCTTCATTAATAATATTCTTAAACTTTCAAACAAAAATTTAAAAATATTTTTATTCATAATTTTAGATATAAATAAATAGAAATTTTGAGACAAATGTATGGTTTAGGAACGGATAATGTTAAAAGCTTAAATTAAATTAATATAAACATCCTTTTCATCCTTAAACTTTGTAAGTTAAACAAGCATTTACTAATTGTGTGGCATTCTACTTACTTCCTTACCTCACTTTCCCACGCAAAACATCCTCATTCTCTGTCTATTTCAACTTTTTTTTTTTTTTTTCCATTTTCTACTCTCTCTTTAAAAATAAATAAATATATATATTATATTAAACACGTGATCAACTTTAGGTATCTAAATATGTTTTTAGATTTTCCCTCAAAATTTTAAAATACATCATTTAAAAAATATTTTATTTTTGTGTTCGAGTAAATTTTTATAAAATATATTAGATATAATATTAAAGGTTGACCCATGAGTTTCCACGAAAAATCCCAGTAAAAATAATTAAATAATTAAAATTGAAATTGAAATTAACGTCCTCCATACACCGTTGACCTTGAAGATTTTATTTATTTATCACCTTTATTTAAATTACTATAAATACTCTTAATATATTCCCACATGCAAATTATTTAAAAAACAATGCTTTCTTCTTCTTCTTCTTCTTCTTCTTCTTCTTCTTCTTCTTCTCTGTTCGCCATTTTCGTTCTCCTTCTCCTGCTTCTTTCTGGGTTTTGCTCTGCAACTCGATCTGGTAAAACCATGGGACATGAGTTGAAACCCGACTTGTCGAATTTCAATTACAAGACGGGGTTCCGATATGTCGGTCAGACCTTCAGTTATCTCCCCAGAGGCGTCCCGATTCCTCCGTCAGGCCCTTCCGACCGCCACAACTCCCTGGTTGACTCTCTTCCTCCCAGTTAATAAACATTTCTTCTTTTATTTCCGTTTCTCTGAATATGGAAATTGTTTTTTTATTTTTATTTTTATTTTGAGATACATATTGAAATGTAATTGTTGTGTTCCTATAGCGATGGAATTAAAAGCTATTTTTTTAATTTAAAAAGAATTGTGGAAAATTTGGTATGGAGGAAAATGAATCGTCTAAAATTAAAACTTCATTAAAAGCGGTGGCGGATTATCCAGTAAGTGGAAAAAGACATCCACGTTCTTTAATTGCCAACATTCAAACATTAAAGCCCCATTTAAGATTACCTCATTTTCCATTAATTAATCTATTAATAACACTTTTTCCTTTTTTTTTTTCAAAAAAAAAAAATGTATATTTGGGGGAAAGCGTAACAGACTGATTAATAGTTTTTATTATGCCATTTACATTGTTTAGATTAAGGAGGAACATAATAGATTAGTAGAAGCTCTCACTTTAATGCCCCATTTAATTATTTTTTATACTATGGTTATGTTATGGGGAGTCTAAGCCCCATCCTTCATCAACTCCACACATTTTCAAACCGTCCACGATATCTCTTATTACACGAAATGGGTACATGAAATCTCCGAGTTAGTGTAACGAATTGTCATATCTGTCTCTACATTACCCTAACACGCCCCACTCATGTCTTAAAGGAGTATCATAAGTAGGGTTGTATATTCAACCTTAACAGGGATGAAGGTTTACACCCTAAGCAGGTATATGCTGAGTTCAGGCCCTCCGTTACATTCAGGGCTCATCATGTAATAAGCTTCTGAATCCTTTGATCCGATCACTCGCTCGAACCTCGCCCTCATATACATCAATTCCTTGTCGGACCCATTTGCCGCCGCCGGCAGAACCCCAGCCCCCATCGTGATCGGCTCCACTGCCTTCAGAATCTTCTGCTCCTCTGCCCCACATTCTCTTCTACTCGCATACCCACATTTCTTCCCGTTACAATACGCTCGCCACAGGGGCTCTTCCAGCAACTTCCAGTTTCTCTTCCTCTCTGTTTTCTTCTCGCATTCCAGCGCCATTCGGACCAACCCAGATGCCATCTCTCCAACCAGAACGCTGGTCGGCGTCGAGAGCTCGATTAACAACGTTGGATTCTGTTTTGGGTCTTCTTGTAATGCGAAATAGACGTGGCCTCGTCGGTACCCGAATAGCGTACCGACGACCCGGACGCCGAGGCGAGTCCGGCGGGGAGTTGGGAGAATCCGGGTGAGGAGTGTTAGAATAGTTCGGAGCTTGGAAATCGAACGGCTGAATGAGGATGAGGATGAAGATGAAGGTTTCTTCTTCTCTTCTTCCTTGCTCTGTTCATTGAAACGCGAGGATAAACTGTAAGATAAGATTTCTTCATTGAAGCGCCTAGAGAAAGAGAAGGAAGAGTCATGGAGGGATTTGGACATGATCGTCTCTCAATCCGTCGGAGTCGAAGAAAGAAAGAAAGAAATGGATAGGTTTCCAGATCCTTATAAAGCTACGGATAGGCTGTTGGGTAGAGGTTTCTTAGAGAGATTTACACACCCTTACAAAGGGAGTTTCGAAGTTTCCAGACCCTTCTAAAGCTAGGGATAAGCTGCTACGGAGAGGTTTTTACACTCTTTAGAGGTTCGGCTAGAGATAGGGAGAGGTTTTCAAGAGTATTTCGTTCTCCTCTCCAACCAATATGAGATATCACAGTATTAAATCAAAACGTGAGGTAGTGTCAGAAATCACAACTCTACACATGATATGATATTGTCCACTTTGAGCAAAACTCTTTTTTATTTTGAACTTTTCCGAGAGGTCAATGTATTCCTTGCTTACAAATTTATGATCATTCCCTAGATAATTAGACCATGGAAGACTCCCTGCAACAATACTCGACCGTCCGGCCGGGAGAATCCTGAGAAAAAGGAAAGGTGAGCAGAGATACGGTACTTGAATTCAGTATCCAAAAAACAGAAAGTGCAGCCTGTAATATCCAGAAAGGCAGGTTTAGGCATGTCGGAGGCGGGGCGAGTTACATGGATGCTGTATTCCTGTCACTGGCACGCGCAATGCTAAGAGTTGTGTCTGCCCTGCGGCCTGCGGCCTGTGCCATGGCTTTTCCTCTGTCTTCTTTATCCAAACTGGAACTATTCTCTGCCTTGTGCACTGCCCAGGCCTGCGCCACGCCCACTCTTAATATTAGCTTCTACTCTTAAGCATGGAGCACATGAATATAGATTAGAGAAAGCTTAAAAGAAAAAGAGAAACAAAAATGTTGAGACTGCGTGAGACAAACAGCTCAGAACCACTGTCCTGAGTGTCAATTTGTCAAACCAAGAACTGGAATAATGGTAAGCATTGAGCCAATAAACACATTAAAATTGTTACTCTAGTTTACACAAGAATTACCCGTTTACGAAGAAAAGCATATACATACGTATAAAATACACATTTTGGGTATCAATATAAAGGATCTCATTTTTTCACAACTCAACCACAACCAGAGAGATGTAGCTGAAGTCATCTTTTATCCTCTCTTGACATCAGTCTCGACCAAAACTGACCACATCAATGTGGTGGTCGATCGACATCACATAGTTCTCGAAAATTGACGATCTTCAACCGACCAAAATAAACACGTTGGTTTGAGCTAAAAATCCTATATCCTCATTTGTCAACTCTCACTATAATTAATCTTTGTAATTGTTAGGTTTTTTGGTTCACATCATTATAGTTGTTCCGGTATAGAGAGAATAGTGTTGACTTTCATAGTGATATTAATAAATACCTTTATTATATCAATCATTTAACGCTTACCAAAATTATTAAAATCTCAACGAATTATTATAACGAGGGGTACATTTTGATCTTTTGAGTTAAAACATAATCAGGATTATTGTTCATATCTAAATTTGGATCAACAGTGAGTTTGTATAATGGGAATCAAAATAATATTGACAAAATAAAAAATTTATGAATCTGTGTAATATTAAACCACATACACTTTGACGGTGTAATGTTTTTTTTGCTCTATTTCAGCCAACCTCTTTCATACAGTTATAGATACGTTGGAGCTATCCCGGCCAACAACCTCTCTAGGATTCTCATTAAATTTTGGATAGTAGAGTAACATAAAAATGCTTACAACATAATCGATTTAGTCAATGGTCAACCTAGCTATAGATCGGTCGACCAAGCAATGACCGACCCATATTGATCGGACATTTCTTTGGTGGGTAACCAACACAGTTGGCTAATACTTTGGGTTAGGCTTCTTATGGATCCCGAGTCTCGTTATTTGTCTCATCTTTAGACTCGTGGCCTTTAGTGCGTATATTGGATATGGCTAATAGCCTCACATGGTCTATCACTCCCAAATTGAATTCGTCGGGGTCATCCCTAATAGTTGTCCTCACTCTCGAGCTAAGTGTTACAGGTCTAGAGGTGGTGTAATGTTCTATCTTAAATATCTTAAAAACCTCGAGGAGATTGACGACTACGATAATAACCGGGATAAATACACTATTTTTGTCGCTAATAGCAAACTCCGACACCAACTTGAACATCAAAAAGTTAACAACTTGGCAACATGTTGCTTGCATTAATTTAATTCTCGTTAATTATACAAATTTAATGCTCTCTTATTGTTGGATCCAAATTTTGATATCACTAATTATCACTAATCACGAACTCCATGAACGCTATAAATCAACCCGTTAAATATAGGCTTTACAATTCAAACAAATCATAAAGCCTTGGAAAGATTTAAAATCATAGTTGACGTATATGAACAATGCAAGTAACGAAAATAAATGATGAAATGGCTATAAATTATGACAAAATTAGTTGTTTGTCACCATGGCCAAACAATTCATACCTTCAATTTGTCTCCTTTTTCTCTGTGTATGATCACTGATGAGTTCCTCCAAGCACCAAGAACATAACAATGGCGACTCCCCTTCGAGTTCGAAGCCGGCCAATCCCATTTTGCCACAATTGCTGCAATCCATCACTCTCAAGGTTAGTATACAAATTTTGAAGTTTATATCCAATAATGGTAAGATTGTAATGGTAGTTTTGGTATCAGTTCGAAGATGTGGAGTATAGCGTCAAGTTGAGGAGCCCAAAAGCCACATGCTTTGGTTCAAACGGTGCGTCCATTACGCGGACCATTCTGAATGGCGCAACCGGAATGGTCCGGCCGGGGGAAGTTCTGGCAATGCTTGGCCCATCTGGCAGCGGCAAGACCACCCTCCTTACCGCCCTTGCTGGCCGCCTTTCGGGAAATATCACCGGCAACATAACCTACAACGGCAACCCATTTTGTGGCTCCATCAAACGCAACATTGGGTTTGTCCCACAGGACGACTTGTTCTATGCTCACTTGACAGTGGTGGAAACTCTGACTTATGCTGCTATGTTAAGGCTTCCCAAAACGCTTACGAAGGCAGAGAAATTGGAGCAGGTTGAAATGGTAATCAACGAGATGGGTTTGTCGAAATGCCGGAATGTTTGGATTGGGAGTCCTCTGTTAAGGGGAATTTCTGGTGGGGAACGAAAACGGGTCAGTATTGGACATGAGATTATAATGAACCCAAGTGTTGTACTGCTGGATGAGCCCACTTCAGGGCTTGACTCTACCACGGCTGAGCGCATTGCTGGGACGTTGCGGCGACTGGCTCGAGGCGGTCGGACAGTGGTGATGACAATCCATCAGCCGTCGGCTAGAATCTATGCGATGGTTGATAAGGTGCTGGTCATGTCGGAGGGATCGTCCATATACTCAGGGGATGCCGGTCGAGTCGTCGAGTATTTCGAGTTCATTGGATATGGTGCTCATGGGGGGCTCAACTTTGTGAATCCTGCTGATTTTCTTCTTGATCTTGCTAATGGTATGGAATTTCTTAGACCCTTTTACATGATTGCGAGAGTAAACAATGAAATTCTTGATTTCTGTGTTGGGTGCAGGCATTGCATTAGCATCTGATACAAAAGAAGATGATACCCAACAGGGGGAGTTTCCTGAGGATCGTCAAACAGCAATCAAGCAATCTCTGATATCCATTTACAGAACCAACTTATACCCATCATTGAAGGCCGAGATTCAAGCGGAGCCTCAATCGGATTCGCCTCCATTATTCACCAGTGACTCATCTAATCTAATCATCTCCTTCCCCTTTCTTTGTGTTTTGATCGTTCCAATCATCTGCTGCATTTTTTGTAGGCCAACAAGAACGATGGGCGTGTAGCTGGTGGGATCAATTTGTGGTGTTGCTAAGTAGAGGGTTAAAAGAAAGGAAACATGAATCCTACTCTGGCTCAAGGATTTTCCATACCATGTCAATCTCAATCATTGCAGGTATTCTCTGGTGGCGATCGAGCCTCTCAAACCTTCAAGATCAGGTATTGTTTTCCAAACCCTATTCTTAAAAATTACAATCCATGGATTTCCAACCAAATATTTCTCTGGGGACTTTTAACAAACAGGTTGGACTCCTTTTCGTCTTAGCCGTTAACTCGAGCATTTTCCCTATTTACATGGCGGTTTTCGAGTTCCCAAAAGAGCAATCGATTCTCAACAAAGAGAGAGCCTCCAGCATGTACCGTCTCTCTTCTTACTTCATGGCTCGAACAGTCATCGACTTGCCGATGGAGCTGCTATTACCGGCCATGTTCGTGACAGTACCTTACTGGATGAGTGGCCTAAAACGATCGGCATCCAAATTTATTCTGACCCTTGTGGTCACTCTTCTCAACGTGCTGACCGCTCAAGGGCTAGGCCTCGCACTTGGGGCCATTCTGATGGACGCAAAACAGGCTTCGACCTTTGCTTCTGTTATAACCATGGGGTTTCTGATGCTGGGAGGGTTCTACATTGGACATCTCCCAGGCTTCATAGCTTGGTTGAAATATCTGTCTTACTGTCACCACACCTTTAAGCTTCTTCTGGGAATTCAATACACAGAAAATGAGACTTACGGCTGTGGGGCTGGGCTGCAATGTCGAGTAATGGATTTTCCTTCTATCAAGCTTGTGGGTGTTGGCGGCAAATGGCTGAGCGTGGCTGTTTTGGTACTAATGGCGGTTGGGTTTAGGGTCGTGGCTTATGTTGCTTTGAGGGTGGGGCAGCCTTTATGGCTCCGATTCAAACTTATTTTCCTCTAACAGTTGCGATCTTGAATATAGTTTAAAACAACCAACAATAATCAAACTAAGAAACAAATTAATGAATTGTCTGAGGTGAATGATACATAAACTTGGTTATTATTTTGAATCAACTAATGATTGTGTAGCAGCTCAAAATTCACTATTAGTAGATACTTCCTTAGATAAGGGCACAAAATACTATTTATAAGAGTGAAAACTTCACCCTAGCAAACGCGTTTTAAGGTGACAACGATAAGTAACAAACTAAAGTAGACAATATCTGCAGGGGGAAAGCAACAAGAAGACAACAATGGCATTACCCAATCATACAATAATGTATAGAGTTTTCCCCCTCAAAGTAAATCTAAAGAGACATGGTTAGAATTATCTACTAAAAGAATCTCATTTATAGTTCCGCGACAAATCTTACCAGATCAGGGTATTACCAACTTCATTTTCCTCCATTTGTCACCTACAATGGATGGACTGCAAGTAAGATCAGAGGGAGACAACAATTAACATGGGGATGTAGGCTGGTCGCTCGCATGGATAACAATGCATATTGGTTAGAAGGGGCTAACACTACGAGCCAACATCAACATAAATTCGGGTACAAGGCGTCTTCTTGGAGGTGCCACCGCATCTTTGGCCAGGGCTTCTGCATCATCGGCATGGATGATCGCCACAAGATCTTCAAACATCTGATCTTTGCCTCCCCTCAACGGATCCTGCACAAAGAAAGATTAATCTTAATTGGGGAAAAGGAAAAAGAAAACTGTTCAAACCAGCAAACTACTTCATGCGACTGTAATAGTTTTGCTATTCAAAATTTGCAGATGCATGAATTGAAGACAAGGGCACCATTGTAGAAAGTGTAGACAAGGTTGCTAAAGAATCTAAAGATGTTCTAATACCTGAACAAATACATCTGTATGTGTCTTTCCTTCGTAAAAAAATGTTTCCGCTTTCACTCCAACGCTTTGAAGAGTATCAGCAAAAGTTTTACTGCATGGCAACAAAACTGCTTGAAATACAAGAAATGCTTTAAATTTGGGAGGATAAGCCTCGGAGTTTTAAGGCATCATCTACATCTGTGTTACGTTTGCCTTTGCTTAGCTACAAAACTATATACCTTGAATCTGATGGAATAGAATAATCTGCTGTTCCATGGAATAAAATGATGGGAGGAAGAATCGAGACTGCAGCTCCCATGTTGGGTTCTTCCAGGATCAATAATTCGGGTGAAAATCGTTTCAAGGATTGTTCTCCTTCCATTATGCTGTAACGAAGTATTTGATTACATTATAAAAGATTCAAAACTACGTATGTATAATAATACTTTTGTGCAAGAACCTCTAATACCTTAGAAAAAGAGAACGATATAAACCTCGAGAGTGAAAATAGTCTACTAGATTGAGCAAATTATACCTGTTTACGAGTAGAGCAGAAAATGATTATAAAGTGACAACGTCAAATGGAGAAGAAAAATTCTGATATGCAAAACATTATTATAGAAGAGAATGCCAAAGCATACCCTTTTTATAGGCAAACTCTCGACTCCATAGTGGTAGAAATACTCACCCTCCTGATAAACCAAAATAAGCTTTTATCTGGGACACACTCCATGAGATACTTTCTACTTTGCGAACCTCCTTCATTGCTTGCTCCAAAAGTGTGCAGGCAGCAATATGAGCGCCAGCTGACTGACCCATTAGATAAATTCTGAAAGAAAAAAAAAAAACAAAGAACAGGATTTCACAGTTAGTACAACCGAATGGTGACAAGGATCAGAGTTTGAAGTAGAAAATCGCAGCAATATGCCCTTTTGTGTAAAGGTTGAAAAATAAAACTGTAAGGATATATTAAGAGGATTAGTTTTCTCTTTAAACTCTTCTAAAAAATTTCGTCATTCCTTCAAAATCTTTGCCCGGCCACATGTTCATTTCTCCTTAATCGACTCTCAAATAAACTCCGAAGATTCTTCATGGAGTTCATACTTCTCATGTTCATCGTTTTTGGCATCGATCAGCCCAGTTCCTGCCCTATTTACGTACGTTTGTAACTGCACGTCAAATTTTTACAAATTTTGTTATTGTTCGACCCAACCCATGAACATCTAAAACAAACACCCCACTTGCGCAGCTCGAAATCAACTTGCTTCTATCTGTTTTTCTCAATCGAGACTTGTTACGTTTTTAATGAACATGGCTTTCTTTGAGAGAGATCTGTTACTTTTTCAAGAAACATGGCTTTTTTGTACTCGTCCTTCCCGGACCCACGCTCTTTAAACAGCCATAAGTGGTGATTCATCTCTTCTGGGTTTTCTTCATCCTTAATCGTCTTTTTTTTCTGTTCTTTTTTCTTCTATTCTTCAAGTTGATGTGAATTGATAAGTTGAAACACCTTTGTCAAAATTGTTTGAACTCATCTCCAAAGATTTTTGTTTCACTTCTCATCAAATTCGTTGATGCCAAAATACTTTAAATTCATGGTCAAGAACACTATCCCTGATACTAATCTTAGTAGAATCCCGAATTTCGTTATGCCAATCTTAATGTTGAAGGAGGAAATACGTGAGTAACTATTTGATGGGGTTGGTTCTCTCGCAAGGTTTCTATTTTTTCTCCTGATTCCTAGTTATAAACGCTCTGAACCATCATTCCTGCTTACCGTTACCTCGAGTTCTTCTGGAATTTTCCATTTCTTCTTTTGGGTGGAGCAGCCCTTTGTACAGAGACATTTTTTTTATGAAAAACCTTTAAGACTTTCATTTGAAGAAAAAGAACCATTAAACATGAAAGATTACACTAACATGACAAAGCCTACAAAAAGGAGTCAAACTCCGATCAAGATAAATAAGACCTAGTGAATAATTATAAAAAAGCTTAGAAACAAAATTCTAGATGGGAACATAGAATCTAAAATACAGAATCAAATATTTTTATAAGAACTCTCACGCACTCTGAAGATTCTGTTGTTTCTCTCATCCCAAAGATCGCACAAAATAGCACACTCCAAGTCAGTGACAATAATTGCCCTTAATCACAAAAGGGCGGGTGGAGGATAAGCTCCTCAATAGACTCCCTGCAACTCCGACAGCTGACAAAGCTAAAACTGAACACCGCAAAAAACTTGCGCCAGACTCAACTAGTAAAATCACAACTCTACAAGATATAATTCAGGCCACCGCCATCCTTTGTACGGAGACATAAAGCCATCTCTCTTCATTCTTACTCTTTTTAAACAAGAACCGAACTAAAGCTCAAGGATACAATTCTCCCCTTTCATGATTAATCATCTTTGCAACAAAATGATTAAATGCATATGGCTCAACCTAACAGGAAGTTAATTAAAAAAAAAAAAACTACAGAAAAAAGTTATAGCAGTAAGATGGGGGAAAGTAAAACATTACCTGTTTGGATCGCCTCCAAATTCTCTAATGTTATTACACAAGAACGAGATACCTTGGGAAGCATCATAAATCATATCACTCATAGTTCCCTGAGGAAAATTTCTACATCAAAAGTATGTACAATTTATCATTAACTACATTGAGAGAGGATTTCATTCGGTGAGATAGGACATTTGGCAATGATGATTACATCATTTATTGAGGCCGAATTACCTGTAATCGATGCATGCTACGATGATACCTCTTTCGGATAATTGTTGTCCTAGAAGACAACCCCAAGCTTTGTAGCTGCATCGACAACGACACTTGTATTAGTTATTTTACTGGAACCCTTTCTCAACTCTTTCATCATATTCAACATAATTTCCATAATCATGATCACTTGGAGTGAACAACCCGCACCAGTGACAAGGGCATAAATTATAGACCAGTCAAAGAATATCAATGCTTACCCAATAATCCAAGCCCCTCCAGTAATAAATGCAACAACTGGTTTTGGCCCGTCAATATGTTTTGGAAGATAAAGATCCAACCTGTACCAATAAATTTCATGCCTCAACATACAAAGTTGAAATTACTACATACACATTCATCTTAAATTCACATAAGAGAATATAAATCTTTTATTGGTTCCTCACTTATTCCTTGGTTTATCACCATAGGGTATACTTCTGCGTATCTGACTGGATGAGAAATAATAGTATCCAACTGCAAGTAACAAAGTCACGATGATCGCCCGTGCAAATGGGTGGAATATATTAGTTCACTTGACATTGCAAAGATAAATATGCCAATCTACAAGAATCTTAGCTCACCTTGAAGAAAACCTGGAAGAAGAAACAATGAATAGCAACCAAGTGCGAGAAATCTTGCAATCCATCTGAATGCTACCCTGAATAATCAAATAAGTTGTAAAATCCCAAACATGATAATCCACCCAATAAGAAAATGTGATGATAACTTAAAAATCTCCATAAGCAGATATTGTACACTTTGATCTATAAATTTGTCTCCGTGAATCTTGATTTATATACGCAAATCAGAAGCAAGAAGAGGATTGGATTAAGAAACCGATCTCTTAACACTATCCCAGCATATAAAACAATAGCAGATGACAAACCGACTAGCCAGAGGACAACGAGTTAAGTACTCTACCGAATATATTTCGAGAGTTTCAAACCGAAGCGAGTCAGTAGAAATTTCTCAGCTCTATCAGCATTGCCATTCTCGATATCACGATCAATAGTCTGGTGGCGGCCGTCACCGGAAAGATAGGACAAAAAGTTTTCGCTCTTGACTCGCCTCCGCTTCTGCTTGTAAGTATTGCTTCCGGAGGATGAACTGGATGTGCTGGAAGCATAGCTTGAAGTCCTAGGAAGAAGGGGCTTATAAGCTATCGTCTTATCATCCTCGAACAACGGAGAAACAAGAACTCCAGTCCTCTGTTCATCGTCTTCTTTAAGCAACATTATGTCTAAGGCAGTAGATGAAGTTTCCATAATTGAATTGGCATCTGAGGCCCTTGAGGTAAGTGGAGACGACGAAGGGGGCTGGGTTATAGGTAGGATCTGAGGCGACGGCATTCTTGCAGCCGTAGAACGCGAAAATCCGGAGAGAAGGTAGGATTGGCAGCGACAAATCTCAACCGTTCTTAGCTTGCAGTCAAAAGGCC